GTGATCTATTACTAAAAAGGTTCGTGCTTGTTTTATACTCGCCTGTTTAATTCGTGCTTTGTCCTTGGAAGGTGGCACTACAGCTGTACTCTACCCACTATAGTGTAGTACTTCGTGACAAACAAACTGAAGGCCAAAATGCTTGAAAAATGACCTCCGTCGTAATAAGTACTCGCAAGTGCGACCTAAATGATGATGCTATTTTGAGCAAATAAAGCAATTAAAAAGTGGAGCTTTTTAATTGCTTTATTTGCGCAAACGCTTCTACTATTTACGTGGAGCTTTCAGCGAAGGGGCAAATAAAAAACAGGACCAGCGCTCGAAAACATCAAAACAAGTCATTCCTGATTCAAATTAAAGCAAACCTTTCTGCTGTAGCCTGTTCGGTCAAAAAGAATCCGGCCAGTATTCATCGATCTCGACCTCAGGCCTGCTTAATAACGCATTTGTAACATAGCCAGCGAGTGGAAGAAATATTTTTTAAATGTTCTTAGATATATCAACGTGTATAAACAGCCGAGAATACCAGTTATCCTTTCATTGTAAACGCCTACGAATCCGATAATCCTAAAATTGATGAATCCTGGATCATCTACGAATCCGAAAAACTCGCCTCTAGTGTTAACTTCGTCTTATTTCAAATACAAAGCTCTAGACAAAAAAAAATCAGGAAAGGAGAGTGTACAAGTATGAGACGATTTGCGCATCCACAGACAACCCTTTACGTTGTCCGTCAGTAATTTAAGAAGCTCTTTCCATTTCCCTGCATTATTTCTTCGCACTCCATGAATTAAAAGTACAGGTGCGCATTGTGCAGAACAAAATGGTCAACTTCTAAAAGTAATTTACGTTATTATCAGGCTGCTGAGTTATTCCAGCGAGGCATGTTTCCTGAATCTTATTAATGGGATGAAAGTTCAACTTATGAGATGGCTACAGCATCAAGCCCTTATGAAGACCTTCGCTTGACTAGTGAGAAAGAAAATTTTCAACGTGTCGCGCGCCTTTTAATATGTGGTGGTAGCGCACCGTTGAGAGATGTTTTTGACAGCAGATGTCCACCAGCTTCTCTTCCAACAATATTAAAAAATCATGTTACAGTCAAGGACCTCAAAAAAGCAAAGCTCACTAAGCCACAGTGGGATTGTCCCTACCCCTCCCCACGGGTGTACGGCGAGTCAAAAGAGTTTGATATCACTCTCCTCTTTAAATTACTGAGATCGATATGCAGCCTCACCCCTCCTGCTACAGGCTGGGATGCTCCACCGGCAAGTACAGACCACTGTTTAGAGGCAGATTTAACAAGAGTTAAGTATTATCGTAACTCGGTGTACGGTCAAGTGAACCAAAATATGGAGATAAAGGATGACTCTCAGTTTTTATTCCTGTGGCGTGAAATCAGTGAAACCCTCGTGAGAATTGCAGGCCAAATCCATCCTTCAAAGAAGCATGACTGGCAGGTAGCCATTAATAAATTTCTAAAGGATCCCCTCACAACAGAGGATGAAAGATATGTACAGGAACTGCTCGACTGGTATAGACGGGATCTGGAAGTAAAGAAATATGTAGAAGAATTACAAGAAACCACTCTTCATATAACTGAGCAGCTACAAAGAGTGGCTGAAGGGGAGACGCCAGTGAATCAGGCCATCAAAGAAAAATGGAAAACCTTAGGAAAGCAGTTGGGAACATGAATGATCAGCTTGGGTCAGATCAGCCCTGCAAAGGCAAAATAATGGCAGAATGCTTTTGCTACATTTTTAAAAGATCCTCTCACTGAAGACGACATGAGACATGTGGAGGAATTGCAGCGCTGGTATCAGAATGATACAGAAGTAAAAGGAATCATGAAAAAGGTAGAATCTTCAATGAAACAATTGGAGAAAGAAGTCGAAGGAACTAAACGAGAATTAAAAGCTTCAACTTTGACTTGACTTTTTGACTTTATCATTATTTTTTTTTAAATTAAAGATATAAAGGCTTTTGTAGCCCGCAGTTAGCGTAGCTATTCTAGGCGGGCTACCTAAACAGACACTGTATAGGCTCTCACATACACACACACACACACACACACACACACACACACGCAAAAATGAAATAAATAGATAAATGAGCAAATAAAAATAAATAATAAATAATAGTAGTGATAATCATGTTCAGGGTTTTAACTGGGCCAGTCACACAAGGGAGTTTTTAATAGGTCAAAGAGAAAGCTAATCAGTTGAAATACAAATATAAGCTAGAAAGGTCAAGGTAGCGCACGTCAACATTCATCTCCTCAATCTCAAACATTTCAAAAGCAAGTGAGTTAGCTCACGTTTAAAAGGTGCTTTCCTAAGCTTACGAATTTCAGGGGGGATGCCATTCCATATTTTCGCACCAACTCTAGAAAAGTAAAGCAATTGATGATTTGTTCTCGCCTGTTTTATATAAAAGCTTCCAGCTACTGAGAAACGAGTAGAGTAGGAATGAACCTTTCAGAGTGAGTAAAAAGTTCAGAAATACTGGGAGGAGCACAGCGATTTTTGATGTCATGTAACAAAGAGGCAACCAATTTGAAGTAAAGCCTTTTTATCGGTAGAATTCCCGAACGACTAAAAAGAGGAGCACTGTGAGATGTATAATCGGAAAAGTACATTAGACGAAAAACCCGCTTTTGTAAAATGACGATTTTCTTTAGATGAGTATTCGCGGCTTGGCCCCAAGCAACGAGACTATAGGAAATATACGGTTCAATGAGCGAGCGGTAAATGTTT